TGTGAGACTGTGTTGACATGGAGGCCTGGTTTGTTGTCACAAATAAGAACCACTGTCTCCAGAACACACCTTACTCTGTTTCAGTGGGTGACAGATTTCAACCCTACCATCCAAAGCTGAGTGGCACAGGAGCTAGCAGTGTAAGAGCCATTTAAGTGTGTGTGTGTGTGTGTGTGTGTGTGTGTGTGTGTGTGTGTGTGTGTATGTACATGTCTGTGCACGGTGTGTTCCACACCCTAGTATGTGTATATACATGTCTATGCACAATGTGTGCTCCCAGCCCCCAGTGTGTGTGTGAATTTGATTAAGAGCACACGGGATTCAGGAATTTCACTGTGGCCCTTTTTCTTTCATTTTAGTGGATTGCCATATGACCATTACTCTATTAAGTTAACATTTTAAAGCATTTCACCTTAAAGCCAGAGGCCCCAGGTGCTGAAATGTGGGTTTATGGGATATGGGCAGAGATGAGGGGTGCCTTGTAACAAGAAGTGTGGGGAGAAATAAGAGCAATCATACAGGCCTTAGTGGAGGTGCAGTGGAGGTTAGTGTAGTGTCAGGTGGCTGGGGGTACAGTGGGGCTCATGCAGTGTGAGGTATGGGCAGAGGTGAAGGCAGCCTTGTGTAGAGGAGCTCTAAGTGGAGGGGCAGTAGGGTTTGAAGTGCAAGGGGCTTCTATAGTGCCTTCTTGGCGGCAATATGATAGGACTTGTGCAGTGTAGGCTACTGTGGAGGCCCGTAACAGGTTCATGGAATGCAGGTACAGCGGGGCTCATGCGGCGTAGGCCGTGGTGGAGGTACAGGAGAAGCTTGGGCACCGAGGATGTAAACAGATTTAACAGGGGCTCATGGGGTAGGTGGAGGCATAGGAGCTTGTAGCAGTGTGTGCTGTGGGCAACTATGCAGCAGGAGTTTGTAGCAGTGCATGCTGTGGGCAGCTGTGCAGCAGGGCCTTTCCATATGTAGACAAAGTAATGTGTGGGGCCTGTGCTACACAGGCTAATGGGTAGAGACCAATAACTGTTGGTGGCCTCTGAGACACAGCACTCCCCTGTCCATGTGGTACGGGCTGAGGCGCCTGACAAGTGGAAGGAAAACACACGTCTCTCTCTTGTCAGCGATGACAAAGCCGGCGTCATGCCTTCCCGAGGAATGAAGCAGGGTCTGAAGAAGGAATGCACCATCTCACCTTGAGGTGGCTCTCCAGATACTGAGCTGTGGAGGACTTGCTGTGTTTGTGACACTGGATCCAAAAGTTTCTGTGAATGTTACTTAAGCTATCTATTCTTTAGATAGCAGTATGCATGCTTCCAAAGGGCTCCAACATAAAACAGCTCCCCACTCTATTGCTATGGTGCAGCAGGCTTAGAGGCTGGCGTGGATTGCTGGGTGTGTGAGGGGAGATTATTTTTTAACCTGTGGATTAAAAAACTCTAACTAGATACATAGCATTGTTTCTGTGTAGGATCATTGCCCCCCACGACTTGCTGACCCTTTTTGATGTCTTGCGTGTAGATGTAACACGTGCAACCGGCCACCCTTCCTGTGAGGGGGTTGTGATGTTTGTCTCAGTGTGTTATATACAAAAGTGCAGCTATGATCTGTCTTGATGAGTAAATTCTTCTGAATCTCTAGCTTACATTGTAAATCCTGTATACTTGGATTTATTGTGAGAAATTCTAATCTTAAAAGTGACTACTTCAAGATGTCCAGGGTAAAGCTTCAGGCAATAGCATCGGGCAGTTCTCAGTAGAGTAGCATTTTATATCACATAAAAGGAAACAATTTTTTGTTGACGCTAATTTTTGGGGTGTGTGTGTGTCCTAAGCCTGTGGAGGCCAGAGGTCGATATTGACCATGTCTCTGTCTCCCTATTCTCATCTTACAGATGGAGGTGGGGGGGTGACCTCCCATGCCAGCTTCCTAAATAGGTTCTGGAGATCCAAGCTCAAATCCCCATGCTTGAAATAGCGAGCACTTTACCGGCTGAACCATCTCTTCAGCTCCTGTAAGCTCATCTTAATCACAGCTCAGTCCAAGTGGTCACTTTCACATGGAACTGAAAAGGATTCTTCAAAACATTACTTGTATTTCATTCAAGGCACACTGATACTTTCCACTACCATTTTCCAATGAGGGCTGCAATGTAGCTCAGAGTTAGAGGCTTACATTGCATGCATGAGGTCTTGGATTTGATTCCCAGCACCAGAAGGGAAAATTTTAAATCTTATTAATCACTACCTGCATATGTAGCTACGAGGGTGTATAGGGTTATTTCTAATAATTGCTGGTCCTTGTGACATGTCTCAGTGTGGTCCCTGAGAACCCAACCTCCCTGGGTCGCAATTACTCTTATTCCCCGGTAGTCCCCTGCCCTGCCCCTCAGCTTCTGTGAATCAGGTTCACACAGCCTCTGTCTGGAGAAGAACAGGTCTTTTTCAGTGGAGTTGTGGTGGGTGCCTAGTGAATTTGGATCCCACCCTTCAAGTGGTGCTCTGACCCATAAACCAGGAGATGGCATAGACTTTTGAGTGGGCTTGTTCCTTGAGAAATTGAGTCTCACGTATTTTGAAGACAGGTAAGCCTGTTGTTCACTTCAGTGCTGCCTTCTCTAACCAGTGTGCGCAGGACACTGGGGTCTTCAGTAGGATTTTGCTGGAGCTGTGGTTATAATCCTGGTCTGACGCCGATGGCATCCAAAACACATGACAACATCTCTGTATATGTACATAACGTAACATAAATACAGTGCATGCTTGTTTTAAAGGCTCACAGTATGCATACTATAAAGGGGCAAAGTGGTGCACACCTGTGTGTGATCCCAGTGTGTGGGAGACGGGGCAGGAGGATCTCAGGTTGGAGGCTAGCCTAGGGTATATAAATAAGATCCTGGCTCAAAAAAGGAAAAGAGGCAGGGAATAAGCAGAATGAGTGAGTGAATGAATGATGGAGGAAAGGTGATCCTGAATTGAGTTTGTGTTTAATGAGTGAGCGCTAAGGTCTGTATATTTATTCACGTTTCCAGTGATATCATTGAAGCTTTGCTTTACCTTACATGCCTGTTTTAGAGGCTCCAGTGAGCAGTTTCACTGTCGAAGAGAGCATAAGTAATTTTGTTACTAACCTGCATGTCTTCACCCTGGATTAAAAAAAAGAAAAAAAGAGAAAATATTGGTTGAAATGGACACCGTTACGGCCTACAGTTAGTCGCAAGAAATGCCAGGCTTGCTGTGAGTTGCAGTTTGGTTTTTGTAGCTTATTGTAGTCAGCAGGTTTGATGGAAATGGTTCTGTGTTGCAGATTTCTCAAAAATGACTAACATTTTTATAACATGGCTTTAAGATGTCACTCTGTGGCGGTGACAGCCCAAGGATATTGTGATGGCCACAGGCTCCCCCTGCCATTGTCTAGGTGGGAGCCTCCACATGTCATCCCTCCCTGACTTCTGTCCTTTTTTTAGCATTTGTAACTGGAGAGATGGCCCAGTCAATAGCATGTTTGTCGTGTGTGATTAAGGACCTGAGTTGAATAGATCTGGGCATGGTGGTATGGGCTTGTAATCCCAGCACTGGGTAAGTCGGGGCAGGTGGATCTCTAGGACTTTCTGGCCAGCCAGCCTAGCATGCATGGTGAGTTCCACATCAATGAGAGACACTATCTCAAAGGACAGGACAGACAGACTGCCTGAGGAATGACATCTCCGGCCTCTCCTTCCCATATTGCACATGTGCATGTACACAACTGCAGAGCACACGTGCATACACGGATCTGCAGACACTGAGGTGACTCTCATTCTTCATACACTTCTGGCCAGTGCTGAGTTTCTGTCATCTTTCATGCATCATTTGGAGGAGACACTTTTTAATCTTATCTATAAGGAAATACCGAAACTTGGAATAAATTATTTCCATAAACCTTGTTCGTGTTTACCTGTCGTTCCACTAAATGGGAGAAGATAAAGTGGCATTTGTAAACTGGAATATTTCTTAGTAAACCAACACAGTGCAGATAAGGGTCTCTAGGGCCTCCTTGTTTTGATTATTTTGGTTTGTTTTTGTTTTTTCAGATAGCTGTGGGAAGGGTTTGATCCCATGCAAAGAATTTTCCAGCATTCATGTGTTTTCCTGAGATACAAACAGCCGTGCTCTAGGGGGAAGGAAGTTATTTTGATCTGATTTGTGCCCACTGATTTGTGGTCCTCTGGACACCAGAGGCCAAGCTACAAGTGCTATAACCACAGGACGGGTATGATCATACTGTTGGGCACATTTGTCTAGAGCCTGGCCCTGAACTCTGACTCCCACGGTGACTCCCAAAGTTGAGATCGGACCAGTGAGCCCCATAACTAACGCCACACTGGTCCCATTTAAGACATGAAGAAGGATGCCGTGTGGTAGGTCAAGACAGCAAGGAGCACAGCATATCCAAAGTTACAGACTTCCTCCCCAGACATGGATTCTCCAGGAGCATACTGACTGGATAGGGGGGGGAAAAAGCCATAACATTTTTTCCCCTTTTTATGACCCGCAGTTTACAAGATGTATTAGTAGCTAAGCCATGCTTCTTCAGACTCTGCGCTCTCAGGAAGCTCTTGAATTTATGGCAGGATAAGTATGTGTTGAAATGTTCCAAACATTTCTGTCCTGCCTTCTTTTTAAGCCGCGTCCAACTCTGCCCCCAAACCCTAAATGGCCTTATACATTCCTCTTCCCTGACTGGCCACATGCTCCCAGCCCTACAAGAGGATTCTGTGCCCTTCTTTTGGGGGATAGGCACAGAGTGTCAGTTATTTAAAGGCCAGATGTTGGAGCTGCACTTCCAGGTCTGCTGATGACAGCTTGGGGCCTCATCTTGGCCATCTGCCTTCATCCCGCCCCCTTTCGTTGAACCCATACCAGGTTCTGGACTACTCTTTTCTCTGTGCAGTAGGACAGTTTTACAGAGCTTCTGGCACTCAGGGTACAGATGGCAACATTAACACTTTGCTTTCTTCCTCACAGACACGAGACGACTTCCTGGGCCAGGTGGACGTGCCTCTTAGTCACCTTCCGGTAAGGACAGTTCCAGACTCTAGACTGCATGCTGGCGTTGGGGGTTTCAGGGATTTCCAGCATGTGTCTGTAGAGTATGACAGACATGACAGAGGGACTGAGATGGGGAGTGTGGTGTGCTCTCGCCATGGCTCTTGTGAGAAGGTGGCCCGATGGAGGGGTCAGATAGAGGTCAACTTAGCTGTGAAAGTCCCCATGTGAGTCACATGACTGCTCTTGTCAGTTTCTCTGGCTCACCTCTCTCACTTCACTCCTCCACCTTTAGCCATTGCCCCTTATGGCATAGCTATCTTCTCCTGTCCAGGTTCGTCTTGGTTTTTGTTTCCATGAGCTTGGTGATCACTTCCCTTTGGTTAAAATAGTTACCTCTGCACAGGCTGCTGTTTCCCTTCTTTGTTTATGGCTTTTCATCTGCTTGGAGGTGGAAAAGAAGATTCTGTTGGTTGTGAGTGTACCTGTTCACTGACAATGCTACTCTCACCTTAGAATGTTCCAGGTTAGCCTCTGTGGCTCTGTCTCCCTTCCTCCTCCCTGCTCGGTGAGAAAACAGTGGGGGCTGTAGACTGCAACTGCAGTTTGGGGGAGTCACCTGTACCCTGCGTCAGTGTAAATGGATGGCGGCTTATATACCAGCTGCCATTCCTAAGACTGTTCTGCCCCCCTCCCAGCCACCTTCCCCCCAAGCAGCTCAAAGTGTCATAAGTAACAGCTATGAGAGGAGAATCAAATACTTCTGCCTTACAAGGGCATCGTGTGTTTCAATCCTAGTGCAAGCACGTAGCATAAATAGTCTATAAACTAAAGTGACTGGGAGGATCCAGTACAAACCTGCTGTCGGGGTTGTTTCCGATGGAGAGTGTTAGGAAAGACTCCTACCAGGGAGGGAATGAAGAGACAAGCCATGATGTCACTCTCTTGGGACATCAGCTAAGGAAGAGAGTCTTCAAGAAGCACATTAGAATATGTGTGTTTCTAAGTACAAAGCTGAATGGACCTCAGGTACCCTGGGGATGTACTGCATAGTGCTTCTATAAGAACCATATCTGAAACCTGGGAGGTTTTTTGTTTTTTTGTTTTTGTTTGTTTGTTTGTTTGTTTTTTAAGATTTGTTTAATATGCGAGACAGGCATGAGTGCATACCCACAGATGCTAGAACATGGTGTCCAGCTCCCTTGGAGCCCCTGTGAGCCACCTCATTTGGGTGCTGAGATACAGACTTTAGCCCTCTGTTAGAGCAGGAAGCACCCTGAACCTTTGAGCTGTCTGTCCCTCCAGCCCCAAACCTGGTGATTCTTTTCAGGTCTTCCTGAGAGGCCCTGAGTGTCTCAGAAACTGCACAGAAAACTGTCTTAGTCAAGGTTACTATTGCAGTGATGAAACACCGTGACCAAAGCAACCTGGGGAGGAAAGGGTTTATTTGGTTTATGCCTCTACAGCACAGATGGTCATCAAAGGAACTCAGGACAGGAACTCAAGCAAGGTGGGAACCTAGAACTACAAAGGGGTGCTGCTTACTGGCAGCTCCTCCTGGCTTGCTCAGCCTGCTTTCTTATAGAACCCAGGACTACCACCCATAGTGGACTAGGCCCTCCCCCCATCAATTGCTAACTAAGAAAATGGCCCTAGAGGCTTGCCTACAGCTTGATCTCATGGAGGCATTTTCTCAATTGAGGCTCCCTCCTCTCTGATAACTCTAGCCTGTGTTAAGTTGACATAAAACTAGCCAGTTCAAAAGGCTTCGGGCATTCCTGACTTGGTGGGTTTCCCTGTCATGTTCTTCAGGTTAAAAACTAGAAAATCATGCTTTGAGACAGTTGGCCGATTTTCATGTGGCTGTCCCCAGTCACTCTGTTCCCTAATGTAAGAACCATGCATTTGTCAAAGGAAAGTATCGGCTCATAGTCTCTGGAGTCATAAGTGAGGAGCTAGAGAAATGGCTTAGAGCATTTGCTGCGTTCTTCCAGACAACCTGAGTTCAGAACTCATTACTCATGTCCAGTGGCTCACTGCCACCTGTAAGTCCAGCTCCTGGGGTCCTGACATCTTCTGGGCTCTGCAGGCACTTGCACACATAGCACAGACACTTGTGCAGATGCAAACACATGCACAGATAGATACACATGCACAGCGACACAGACACATGTACAGAGACACAGACACATGTACATGCACAGACAGACACAGGCAAATGCACAGACATGTACATAGACACAACCACAGACACAGAGACACCTAAGTTTGTGGTCTTTATTTTTCAGTTAGTTTTGTTTGTTAGTTTGTTTTATATCCTTAAATGATAAAAAGAAAGGCCGAGAGTGGAGGCACAGCTTTTAATTCTAGCACTTGAGAAGCAGAGACAGGTCATTTCTTTACATTTGAGGCCAGGCAGGACTCTGACACGTGCATCTCAAAGGAAAAAACAAAAAGAGCCGTAAGTAAAAGTTCCACCGCCTTTCTCCAGGATGCCCTCTTCTTGTGTGACTTAGGGGTGGCTGGTTTAAAAGGCATCATGCTTCAGTGAGTAGAGGTGTGTTCTTTAGAGACAATTCAGTACAGGGAATAATTGGGCTTTGGGATTTTGAGTGGTAACCAGGGTAAGTTTTCAAAGAAGTCAGTGCTGTCAAGGCCCAACATAAGAATAGAAACCAGCTCATTAAGAAGATCATTATGTGATCAAAATATATTATATGAATATATGAAAAGGGCACAGTGAAAGTCATTATTTCATATAATTAATATATGCTAAGAATTTTTTTTTTTTAGTTTTAAGGTTCCACAGAATAAACAGAACAGTCTTCTAGTTATGGAAATGGCCAGAAAGAAGCCTGTTTCACAGCACCATAAGCCCAATATAACAGTGGTTCTCAACTTCCTGACACTGCGACCCTTTAATACAGTGCTGGGCGGCCCCCACCCATAAAAGTATTTCCCTTACCACTTAATAACTGTAATTTTGCTACTGTCATGAGTTATAATGTAAATATCTGTATTTTCCAATGGACTCTGGTGACCCATGTGAGCTACCTTCAAGGATATGAACTGCAGTAGAAACTAGAGGGGGGAGTGAAGGTACAAACCCTGTGCTCCATGCGGTAGTAGAAGTCAAGTGGGTTATTCTCCATGTACTTGGCCTTGAGACCCTGGACTTACATGTGTATTTGGCTGTATGTGTAAGACACTTGTGGAAAAATTGCACAGATGTTCATTCCCATAAAATTGCTAATGCACAGTTAGAATGTGTTATTCATGTTCAGTCTCTTTTGTGGAGTTTCATCGTGGCAGCTACATAGCCATTGTTATTGAAAAAGTATCAGCTCAGGACCCCCATGACAATGTTCTCAGCGCAAAGGAGATTTATTTGCCTCAGAGGGACAGAGGGAAGGCATAAGGGATAAAGACAGGAGATACAGGAAGAGGGAGAAAGGGGGAGGGGAGAAAGTGAGCAAGGGAAATGGGGAAGGGTATTTGCACTGAGGGGAACAAGACAAAGGACTGCCTCTGGATAGGGAAGAGACAGACACGACACATACGAAAATGGCGGTTTATAAAGGTACAAGGGTAGCCCATGTTAGGATGAGGCGTTTAATGTTAACTGGCCATGTTAATTAGGGTAGCCAAAGGGGGCTTTTGATTATTGGATTTCATTACTTTGATAGCTGGGCCTTGGTAGTCAGCCTCAGGAGGAGGAAGTGGACAAATAAGGGGACAGACCTTGGTAGTTAGCTTTAGGAATGTAATCACAGTTTTAGCAAGTCAGGGGGATCTGGGGAGAGCTGGGCCTGCCAGAGCCATGCTCGCCACGCTTAAGCTGGCCGAAGTCCCTTCAGTTATAGTTAAACTATATGTGGCCCACAGATCCGACATTTGTCAGAAGTATCCCGTTTCAGTTAAGAGAAACTAAGAAGATGAAAACTCTTTCAGTCGACCTATTAATTATTACTAATAAAGAAGGTTGGGGTTAAGAGATGGCTCAGTGGTTAAGAGTGATTACTGTTCTTATGAACGAACGACTGGAACTTAGGCTCCCAGCAGCTACATCACGTGCCTCACAACAGCCTACAATGTTGGCTTGAAAGACTGTGAGCCCTTCTTCTGGCCTCTGTGCTCACCCATGTGCACATGTATACACACACCTAAAGATTTAGAAACATCTTTACATAATGGAGAAGATCCATGGATAGCAGGAAGGTGGGGGACAGTGGCCTTGACAGCCACCCTTCCTAGTCTTTTTAAGGGCTAAGGGACCCGACTGAGTATATGGTTGTTAATTGACAGTCTGACCCCATTAGCAGTTGGAGAATTCATTCCTTGAACAAACACTTACTGGTAGGTGGGATTCTGATCTTCGTAGATGTATCAACGAAGCAAGTTCTCTCTCGTGGAGCTCAGTGCTGGTGTTCCGGCAGCCACATATGAGTGTGTGAAGTACAGCTGGTGTGCTGGCAGATCCCACTTACAAGTATCTGTTATTTTCATTAAGGTTTAAACGTAAGCCACTTTGGCAAGTGGCTATTAATACCAGATGACACTTTGGAAAATTAGACCCAGAATTCCCTACTTTGGGTCAAACATGGTTCTCATTCCCTTTTTCCCTAGATCATACTTCTGCTACCGGAGCATCCGTAGGTTGGGGATTCTAAAACCGTCAGAAAACCTTGTCAGTTTCTTTCTTCCCCTCTCACTTCACATCATTTCTCTGTAATTCTCCATATAATTATACCAAGGTAGTTAATTTAGATAATTATAAAAGCCTTCCAAGTGAAGACCATAGAAATAAAAAAAAAAAATTGGGTGATTTTTTTTTCCAACTCCAAATTGACGGACTTCTTAATTACCTGATTATTATTATGCTCCCTTTATTTTACATTGTGCTTGGTGCTACATGCTTTTCTACCATGGCACTTAAATGGAGGTCAGAGAATAACCCAGTCCCTCTCTCTACATGTTGGTCATGAGGACTGAGCTCAGGCGATCCGGCTTGGCAGCATGTGCCTCCGACC